TAAGATTCATGGTGCTTTTCTGCCTAGGAATCTTTGTTCTGGCTTCCCTCTTGAGTCCCCTTTTCAATCAGCTGAATGGGCCACTCTGCCTTCCCGGAGCTCCAAACATCGACCAAACGGGGACCTAGTCCCGTTTACTCTGCACCGAGAACCGCCGTGCCAGCCACAAGAGTCATGGTGGTGACCCGTGGGGCTCCTCCGCTGGGAATCTCCTGGTTCGCGAGCAACAAAAATTCGTCTGAAAGTGTGGTGTCCTCTTGTTCTCTGTGCTTTTCACTACAATCCTGAGCTGCTAGTAATTGGCCATCTTGGATCTCTCTTCCAGACTCTTTTTAGCAACCGGATCTCGTCTGAACAAATAGAGTAAAAAGTCATTCATCACCAAAGGAATGGCACCAAGCCATTAATGAAGGATCCATTCCCATCACTCAAGCACCTCCCACCATGCCCTCCCTTTTAACACTGGGGATCACACATTTTTTTTGAGGCAGTCTTTCACTTTGTTGCCCAGGCTGGAGTGCAGTGGCATGCTCTAGGCTCACTGCAACCTCTGCTTCTTGAGTTCAAGCAATTCTTGTGCCTCAGCCTCCCGAGTAGCTGGGATTACAGGTGTGCGCCACTACGCCCAGCTAATTTTTGTATTTTTAGCAGAGATGGGGTTTCAGCATGTTGGCCAGGCTAGTATTGGACACCTGACCTCAAGTGATCTGCCCACCTTGGCCCCTCAGAGTGCTGGGATTACAAGCGTGAGCCACTGCATCTGACCAGGATCACATTTTAACATAAGATTTGGAGGGACAGATATCCAAACTGTATCAGTCCTAACAGTGGAATTTTAAGACTTTGATAGGTTTGGTTCATTTCTAAGCTGAACATGTTCTTATTTTCTGGCACAGATGTTCCGGCCTTCCTCTTTAACTTTACTTGCCCTAGCCCTGGAATCACCTATTTCTCTAAGGAGCTTTTGTTCCTGTTAATGGATAATTATATTTAGAAACCAAAATTTGGGTACTAGCTGTGCTCATTGCTGTTGGGGCATCATTACTTCTAGGCCCTTTCAGTGGACAAAGATGTGTGTATATACATATATATCTACATCTGTATGCCTATATATATGTGTGTACACATGAACACCACACACACATATATACATATTTTGAGTTCATACAGAATCCTGGGAATCTTAGTCATTTGATTTGGCTGGTATGTTTGGTCTAAACTCTGACACGTTGTTTCATTTTATAATCGTTATGTATATTATGTTGCAATGACTTCTGTATTAGTCAAGGTTCTCTAGAGGGACAGAATTAATAGGATAGATGAATGTATGAGGGGGATATTATTGAGTATTGACTCACAATCACAAGGTAAAGTCTCACAGTAGGTTTTCTGCAAGCTGAGGAGCACGGAAGCCAGTCCAAGTCCCAAAACCTCAAAAGTAGGAAGGTGACAGTGCAGCCTTCAGTCTGCAGCCAAAGGGCCTGGCAAACCACTGGTGTAAGTCTAAGAGTCCAAAAGCTGAAGAACTTGGAATCTGATATTTGAGGGCAGGAACCATCCAGCATGGGAGAAAGATGAGGCTGGAAGACTCAGCAAGCCAGCTCCCCTCACCTTCTTCTACCTGCTTTATTCTAGTTGCCCTGGCAGCTGATTAGATGGTACCCACCCTGACTGAGGGTGGGTCTGCCTCTCCTAGTCCATTGACTCAAACGTTAATCTCCCCTGCAACACCCTCTCAGACATACCTAGGAATGATACTTTGCATCCTTCAATCCAATTAAGTTGACACTCAGTATTAACCATTGTGAGTCTATCCCTTGTCAACTTGAAAGTATACACATCTGAAATCACAAATAAATCTTATTTGTCTTTATGTGAAGATTTATTTGTATTATGTTATGCTAACATAATACAGCTATCCTTCATACGACTGGAAGTGCACTAATTCTTAACCTAAATGCCATACATAAAGTTAACAACACTTAAGTGCTGTTATGAAGTCAGTAAATCTTATGTCACATGGCAAAGGAAAAAGGAAATAAAATGAAGATATTTTCTTAGTACAGGTGTAAACATGCACAAACATATTTTTAACAAAATAAGGAGGAAATACTCATGACAATTACAGTCCTCATTTCTTCAATTGGTCATGTGGTCATAGCTGATATTGATAACTACCTTCTTCTACTGCCCATTCTGTATTTCCCCTTGCCTTCAGCAAGCACCTCAGTGGGTTGTGGTTTTTTTTACCCAGTAGAGTGACCCAAACCTTCGTTCCTGAAGAGTCTGGGCCATTTGTAGTCCTCCCTGGATTTGATTGTTGTAGTTTCCCACTGACCTTAATCACAGGGCATGGTAACACTAAGAGACGCCCTAACAGAGCTCCTGTATTCCACACATACTCTTCCTTACCTCTGTTGTGGAGTAGTAGACTGATTTCATCTTGATAGTATGGGTCATCACCCCAGCCAACACTGTTACTCCCTTTGTAGCCTGTTGACTCACAGGTAGGAGGAGCCCAAAGTGGCCAGGTTTCTATCTGAACTTCCAGTTTAATGGAATCATTGTTGTGTCTTGTGGTGGCAGCATTCTTCTGTATGGAGCTAAGACCTATAGGCTGGCAGAACATAATGTTGCAGGAACAGGAAGCAAAAATTTTGCTAGTGGGTCACTAGAGGTGATGGTGAGTGGTGCCACTTCCTGTTCCACACTTAATTCAACTCAAGGGTTCTCAGTATACACAGGTTTAATAATTTGGTAGAATGACTCATAGAACTCAGAAAAGTACATACTTATGATTATAGTTTTATTATAGCAAAAGGATACAAGTAGAACCAACCAAAGGGAGTGATGCATAGGGTAAGGTCTCAGAGGGTCCCAGCCATGAAGCTTCTGTTGTTCACCTTCATGTCACCCTCCCAGCACATTGAAATGTGACAAAATGTACAGTATTGCTGACCAGGGAAGTAGTATTGTTGACAAGGAAAATATATATTTTTTAGTCTTGGCATTTAGTTTTTTGCATTTCCCATAAATTTAATCATACAGTATGCAGCCTTTTGAGTCTGGCTTCTTTCACTTAGCATAATACATTTGAGGTTCATCCATGTTGCTGCATAAATCATTAGTTCTCTCATTTTTATTGCCAAGTGGTATTACATTGTATGGAGAATTTCAGGTTGCTTATCCATGGTTGGAAAGCATTTGATATGTTTCTAGGTTTTGGTGATTAAAAATGTCGCTGCTATATAAATGTTCATGTACAGGCTTTTGAGTTTATATAAGTTTGTGTTTCACTGAGGTAAATAAATGTGGGAGTGGGATTGCAGGGTTATATGGTAGTATTTGCTTAACTTCATAAACAATTGGAATATTGTTTTCCAAAGTGGTTGTATGCCATTTTGTATTCCTGCCTATGACAGGAGAGGTACAGTTGCTCTATATCCTCACCAGCACTTAGTATTGTCAGTTTTTTCCCCATTCTAATAGGTGTGTAGTAGTATCTCATTGTGGTTTTAATTTACAGTTCCCTCATGGCTAATGATGTTGAGCATCTTTTTATGTGCTTATTTGCCATCTGTTTATCTTCCGTGGTGAAATATCTCTTTGGCCCACTTCGTTTTAACTTTGAAGTTTTATATATATATGTTCTCAATGCAAGTTACTTGCCAGATATTTGATTGGCAGATATTTTCTTCCATTCTGTATCTTTTTAATCTCTGAATTTTGCTGTCACATCTAAGAAATACTTGTCTAACTCAAGGTTAAAAAGAGTTTCTTCCATATTTTTTGAGTACAGGGTGAACCTACTTCACAATATGCAATTCATTCATTTTCATTACTGTACAACATTCCATTGAATGACTGTGCCACAGTTTACCTGTTCTACTGTTGATGGACATTTGGGTTTTATCTGTGATTTAATATTAGAAATAGTGCTGCTATGAACATCCCTATACTTGTTTTCTAGAGCACATGTGCATGGTTTTCTCTAAGATGTGTACCTAGGAGTAGAATTGCTGGGTCATGGTGTATGCAAACCATTAACCTTTGTAAATAATCCAAACTGTTGCCAAAACGATTACATTCCTGCTAATGGCGTGTGAGAGTTCTCATTTCAACATAATATTATGTTATTTTATTCTGTTTAATTATAACCTTTCTTGTGGGTGCATAGTGGTGTTTCAATGTGGCATTTTTCACTTACCTGCTTGCTAATGGGGTTGAGTACATTACCTTATGTTCATAGATCATTTGGTTTTCCTTTTTAGTGAAGTACCTATTCACTTCTCTTATCCATTCTTTTGTGTGTGTTTCTTATTGATTTGAAGGGGTTGTTTTATATATTCTAGATACAGTACCTTTATCCCTCATGAATATTGCCAGTAATCTCCCCATCTGTGGCTTGCCTTTTCATTTTAGTACTTTTGATCTTATAACACTTACAAGTATTTTCCTTTATGAGGAGTGCTTGTCATGTTTTGTTATAGAATTCCTTCCCTATTCCAAAGCTTATGAAAACATTTTCCTATATTATTTTATAGAAACTTTATTGTTTACCTCTCACATTAGATTTGCAATTTACCTGTAGCTGATTTTTATGTATGGCTAGAGGGGTTAAATTTCATTTTTCCCCATATAGATACCTAATAACCCATCCACATTTATTGAAAAGGTCATCTTCTCTCTACTGCTTTACCATGCCAACTTTGTCATAAATCAGGTGTCTACACATGTTTAGATTTTCTTTTTAGTTCCACTGGACTGTTTGTCTATGCTTGTGCTGATATGACATTGTCTCAAATATTCTCTTAATAAAATAGGATTTTTTTGCCATGATTTGTGATTCTCCCACAAAGTATATCACTAACTTGATATGAAGTAGACATCTAGTATTGAGTCATCATGATAAACCAGGAAGCCAACCAGAAGTTCCCCTGCATTTTACCCTCATCACCTAGTGGTCAGCATGTTAAAATAAAAGGAATGTACCATTACAGGGGCTAGTAACATTTGAAGATGTGGCTGTGGCTTTCACCCAGGAGGAGTGGCAGTACCTGAACCCACTGCAGAGGACCCTGTACAGAGATGTGATGCTGGAGACCTACAGCAACTTGGTCTTTGTGGGTAAGAGTGGCTTCCTTAGGCAATCTTGCTATTTATGATTACTACTTCCAATGGAGGGTATTTCCTTTCTCTGTTTCCCCCTTTTGTCTCCTGAAAAAGTGTTTGTGAGCTCAAAACGCAGGTTAAATGATTTGACTTTACCATTATGTCAAGCAATAGATTCCTTGTGTTACCCCCAAAATGTAACTTCTTCTGTCTCAGAGGCTGTGAAAGCCAAGGAAGCATCACTGTCATTTCTCATCAACAGGGCAGCAGGTTACCAAACCAGACCTCATCCTCAAGTTGGAGGTAGAAGAATGCCCGGTAGAAGAAAAAATTCCATTTTGGAGCTTTCCAGGTATGTGGAATTTTGACCCAGGCTCTGGGGACATGAAGTTCCACCCTATTAGTCAGAGGTGAGGCTCTCCGACAGGGCTTTCAGGAGTATCTTTGGAAAAGGTTCTGGCCCTTGGCACTGTTGGAGGACAGGGACATGAACATCTCAGACACAACACCGACACTCCCTCTGTCCCCCATACACCAGATCACTCTCCTTAAGTTGGTGCTTACCTTCAAGTTTCTACACAATTCTTTTGTACCATAGGAAAGTGTCTTTTAAATGCCATGACCCCCTGGCCCTGCCACTTTCATGACTCTCACCTGTCACTGACTTATCTGAGGCCAGGCCCACATTAGTCACAAGCCTGGACTCTAATGCTCTAATTCGAGGTTGAACAACCTGAGTCCAGTCTTCTTGTTCAGTTTACATATTTGTTAGATTTGCTTTTCTAAAACATCTTGGTTATCTAGTTTTTAAAAGTAGCTTTATTGAGATATGATTCACATATCAATAAATTCACCCTTTTAAAGTATACAATTCAGTAGTTTTTAGTATATTCACGGAGTTCTGCAGCCATCACCACTACCTAATTCTAGAAGGTATTCATCACACTGAAAAGAAACCCCTACTCCCTAGCAGTCACTCTCTCTTCCCTCTTCCCCTCACTCCCTGGCAACGACTGATCTATTTTGTCTCTATGGTTTTGCCTATTCTGGACATTTTATTTACATGGAGTCAGGCAAAATATGGCCTTTTATGTCTAGTTTCTTTCACTTGGCATGTTTTCAAGGTTCATCCATGTTGTTCTGCGTATCAGTACTTCATTCGTTTTTATGGAGGAATAAAGTTCCATTGTTAGGATAGAACACATTTTGTTTGTCTGTTTATCAATTGATGGACATTTTGCTTGTTTCTACTTTTTGGTTATTATGGATAATGGGCTGTGAACATTCATGTACAAGTTTTTGTGGTGATATATGTTTTTATTTCTTTTGGGTAGGTACATAGGATTGGAATTATACCATGTGGTATAAAAGGAACTATATGTTTAACATTTTGAGGACCTGCCAAACTGTGTGAATACCCTGTTTCTCAAAAACTTTTACCCAATGGTTTTAACATTCACTGATGATTCTTGCCTGAATCAGTTATTACCAAGATGGTTGATTTTTTTTTTTTTTTTTTTTTTTTGAGACAGTCTCGCTCTGTCTCCCAGGCTGGAGTACAGTGGCACGATCTTGGCTCACTGCAACCTCTGCCTCCCAGGTTCAAGTGATTCTCCTGCCTCAGTCTCCCGAGTAGCTGGGACTACAGACATGTGCCACTATGCTGGCTTATTTTTGTATTTTTAGTAAAGATGGGGTTTCACCATGTTGGCTAGGCTGGTCTCGAACTCCTGACCTCAGGTGATCTGCCCACCTTGGCCTCCCAAAGTGCTGGAATTACAGGTGTGAGCCACCACACCTGGCCTAAGAAGGTCAATTTTTATTTTTTTAATATCTTATCCATTACAATCATTATTCACTTTTATGTTCAAATTGTCTTCAATTTGGCTAGTAGGAGTCTCTTCTGGCTAGCTCCTCTGTCCTTTTGACATGTTCCTATCATTCTTTGAGCAGTCCTTCACTTTCGAGCACAAATGTATATTCCAGATTTACCTTGTATATACTCTTTTTCAGACCTGGAATCAGTAACTTCTCCAAGAATGTCTGATTTCTATTAGGGGGAATGGTATTTAGAAATCAGGATCTGCTGCTGGATGTGCTCTTGGCTACTCAAGATTCTTGCCGCTTACAGTCTATAGATGCTTCCCCTCCCTCCCTCTTTTTTTCCCCTAATATTTCTTTTTTAAGTAAATTTGTCATTCTATGAAAAGGGTCATTTGTCATTTTGTTTTCCACATTCTGGATTTTGCCGTTAAATACCTCATGGCAGAATTTAACATAATTCTCTATGTTTCTTGTTAGTTGACTTAGAGGCTGGATCAGATTCAGGTTTGGTGATTACTGCTTAAATCCTTTAATTCATTTGTGATTGTAAAATGGTGATATTCTATTATTCCTTCTTTGTTGATTAGCTGGAATAATTCTATAAAGAGAAATTGCATCTCATCTATTACTTGGCTATCATGAGTTGCATATTATACAGAAAAGACAGGCTCAGTGATTGAGCTTTTCCATTTATTTACTAGTTTTCAAAGTAATGAATTGATTTTGTAGCATCATCCAAAGGTGACCAATCTTTTTTGTGAATCATTTGTGGACTTATGGATGTATACATTTCTATGTTTTAGTCCATTGTCTTATTATCCGTATTGCACATGACACTGTCCCATCTTTGGCCAGTGGAAACTCCCTCAAGTTAACTCCTGAGTCTTTGGTAGCTTCCTTCCTTCTCCCATCATTTTTTACAACATGAGCCTATATGAGTATATATTTATTCATTTCCTACTATGCACAGTTTTTTAAAAATTTTATTAAGTTTTATTTTTAGTTGACACATAATTATACATATTTATAGAGTATAGTGTGATGTTTTGATACATGCATACAGTGTGTCATAATCAAATTAGTATATTCATCATGTCAAACATTTGTTTCTTTGTGGTGAGAACATTCAAAATCTTTTAGCTATTTCAAAACATATAGTATATTATTGTTAACTACAGACACCCTGCTGTGCAATGTAATACTGAAACTTATTCCTCCTACCTAACTGTATCTTTGTACCCATTTACCAACCTTTCCCTATCCTCTCCTCCCCTCTTTACTTCCCAGTGTCTGGTCACTATTCTGCTCTCTACTTCTATGAGATCAACTCTTTTAGCTCCCACATATGAGTGAGATCATACAGTATTTGTCTTTTTGTGCCTGGCTTATTTCACTTAACATAATGTCATCCAGGCTTATCCATTTAGTTGCAAATGACAGTATTAAATTCCTTTTTATGGTTGAACAGTATTCCATTGTATAAATAGACGACATTTTCTTTATCCATTGATATTCTTTGATGGACACTTAGGTTTGATTCCATGTCTTATAACAGCTTATTGCTTCCCTCAAACCTCCACTCCAATTTGTTTTTCCCTCTCTTTTAGAAAGTGATCTCATCTCATTCTTTGCTATAAAAGAAGCAAAGTGATGAAACTCATACCACTCCCCCAACATACCCTCCCCCTACTTAAAAAACCCTTCAGCTTCCCTCTCCTGTGGCTCAAAATCACCTCCACTATCACCCAGTTTTTCCCTGTTTTCTGCCTCAGGTAACAGTGTATGCACAGTTTTATTCACCATTCACCATTTTTCATTTACTATTCTAGAACATATTAAATATATAAAGATACTCTTTATGGTAATGTAGTGATTCTTAAAAATCATAATAGTAGTAGTAGTAATAGTAGTAAACAATTTAAAGCACTTCCTGTGTACCATGCAAGCCCTGTTATAAGTAATTTAATTCTCTCAACACCCATTTGGGTGGGCACTGTTAGAATTTCTTTGTGGGGGGGGAAGTCACATTCAAATAGATTAGATCCCTTGCCTGAGGTCACTGACCAAGTGAAAGGTTGAGCCAGGATTTTCTCCTGGGCCATACTACTTCTTACTACCTAAGACGGTTCAGATTCAGCAGATGTTTGGTGGAGCTTGGGTCCCATGGAGAGCATTTTGTAAAAAAGTCTTCATGTGATTTTGTTGTTCATCTCTGGCTAAGAACTAATGCTTAACTAGCCAAAGAAAGGAAGTCACAGGAAGAAAAACCACAGCTGCATAATCCATGTTAAAATTCAGTATCACTATAGCAAAATGTTGACACTATTGAATCTAAGTGGTAATATGAGTAGTTATTATATTCTTCTTTCAACTTTTTCTATGCTTGAAAATTTTCATATAAAAATTTGGGGAAAAGTAAACTATAAAAAATGATTAAAAATTCACCATATGTGCAAAAAATACTTGCCATATTTTCCTGACTTCAAGATACCACAGATTTAAAGACATACCACTAAGAAAGAAAAATTGCCACTAGTTAACCTATGACATTGATTGTAAGGTGCATCTGGATTCAGAAATGTTAAAATGTTGTGAAATAATGTGCTGCCTGGAATTGATGAAATGAAATTAAAGGCAAAGCTTTGCAATTTTCACTGTTTAAATGAGTGATACAGATGACTGACTACTTCAGAAGTTAATAAATATTGAAGTTATATAGGATGATCAGAGTAAGCTTTTTAGAAAAGACTGACCTGCCTCTTTAAAGTTAACTAGATTCTGAATATAGCAAAATATGGAAGACAGGGCTATGTGAGTGATGGAACATGGGGATGGGTTTGGAGTTCAAAATAGGCAGAGTTTTTAGTGGGAATAGTATAGACAGGAGCAGAGAAGGTGGTATTGAAGAACTGTGAATGCAAGCTCTGATGGATACACAGGTGAATCCAGATTGGGCAAATACTTTTAGCTTTTTGTTTTTGTCATCCTAATCATTCTAGATTTTTCTTTCATTCATTGAGAATGTGGATTCAGTGTTACTATTATAAGACATGAGTCTGGGAATCATGCTGTTATATTTCCACGTAGATGGAAATTCTGTAATTCAGGTACAGTTAAGACTTCATATGATACTGGCCAGGTGTGGTGGCTCATGCCTGTAATCTCAGCACTTTGGGAGGCTGAGGCAGGAATTTTGCTTGAGACCAGGAATTTGAGACCAGCCTGGGCAACATAGTGAGACCTTGTCTCTACAAAAAAATTAAAAAATTAGCAAGGTGTGGTGGCTCATGCTTACAGTCCCAGCTACTCAGGAGGCTGAGGTGGGAGGATTGCTTGAGCTCAGGAGGTCGAGGCTGCAGTTAGCTGTGATTTTGCCCCTAAACTCCAGCCTGGCAACAGAGCTGAGATTCTATCTCTTAAAAAAGAGAGTTTATATGATAACTGAAGATTAAGGGTATACATTTCCCAGAGTTGATGGAAGTCAGGTATGATGTATAAATAGAGGTAAGAAAGACTGAGTTATCAGGGTAAGATTGTTCTTGGTAACAAAAAAACCAGCAGGTTTGAGTTCAGTAAAAAACTCTCTCTCTGGGAACTCTGAAAAAATGAGATGATAGTATCAGCTTTCATATAGCAGAATTATTCTAAAGAAGATCCTTTCCATAATGTCAAAGCATAAAGGTGGTTTATTATACTTCTTTCTAGAAATCTGTCAAGTTAATGAACAGATTGAGAGGCAACATCAGGATGACCAAGGTAAATGTCTGCTGATGCAAGCTGGATTTTCTGACAAGAAAACAATTACCACCGAGAGTGGTCGTGACTGTCATGAGTTTGGAAACATACTTCATCTGAGTACAAACCTTGTTGCTTCAATACAAAGACCCGATAAACATGAATCATTTGGAAATAATATGGTAGATAATTTAGACTTATTTAGTAGAAGTTCTGCAGAAAATAAATATGATAATGGATGTGCGAAATTATTCTTTCATACTGAGTATGAGAAAACAAATCCTGGAGTGAAGCCCTATGGCTATAGAGAGTGTGGGAAAGGCCTTAGGCGAAAGAAAGGCCTTAGTCTACATCAGAGAATTAAAAATGGAGAGAAACCTTTTGAATGTACTGCATGTAGGAAAACCTTCAGCAAGAAGTCACACCTCATTGTACATTGGAGAACTCATACGGGAGAGAAACCTTTTGGATGTACCGAATGTGGGAAAGCCTTTAGCCAAAAATCTCAGCTCATTATACACTTGCGAACTCATACAGGAGAAAGACCCTTTGAGTGTCCCGAATGTGGAAAAGCCTTCAGAGAAAAGTCAACGGTCATCATACATTACAGGACTCACACAGGAGAAAAACCTTATGAATGTAATGAATGTGGAAAAGCGTTCACTCAGAAGTCCAACCTCATTGTCCATCAGAAAACCCACACAGGAGAGAAAACCTATGAATGCACTAAATGTGGAGAATCTTTCATCCAGAAGCTTGATCTAATTATACATCATAGTACCCATACAGGAAAGAAACCCCATGAATGTAATGAGTGTAAGAAAACGTTCAGTGATAAGTCAACTCTCATTATACACCAGAGAACCCATACGGGAGAGAAACCTCATAAATGTACTGAATGTGGGAAGTCTTTCAATGAGAAGTCAACCCTTATTGTACATCAAAGAACTCATACAGGAGAGAAACCCTATGAATGTGATGTGTGTGGGAAAACCTTCACGCAAAAGTCAAACCTTGGTGTACATCAAAGAACTCATTCAGGAGAGAAACCCTTTGAATGTAATGAATGTGAGAAAGCCTTCTCTCAGAAGTCCTACCTCATGCTACATCAGAGAGGTCATACAGGAGAGAAACCTTATGAGTGCAATGAATGCGAAAAAGCATTTTCACAGAAATCATATCTCATCATACATCAAAGAACTCATACAGAAGAAAAACCCTATAAATGTAATGAATGTGGCAAAGCCTTCAGAGAAAAGTCAAAGCTCATTATACATCAGAGAATTCATACAGGGGAGAAACCCTATGAATGTCCTGTATGTTGGAAAGCTTTTAGCCAGAAGTCACAGCTCATAATACATCAGAGAACGCACACAGGAGAGAAACCCTATGCATGCACTGAGTGTGGCAAAGCCTTCCGAGAAAAGTCGACATTCACTGTACATCAAAGAACTCATACTGGAGAGAAGCCCTATAAATGTACAGAATGTGGGAAAGCCTTTACCCAAAAATCAAATCTTATTGTACATCAGCGAACCCATACAGGAAAGAAAGCCCATGGAAGAGGCCACGCTCGGAAGTCAAAGTTCACGGCACATTAGAGTTAATCAACAGTGTCTATTATGGACACTAACGGAAAGTTGTGTCAATTTAATTCACATTTTAAAAGTATGTTCTGACTTCTGGTTTAAATATGAGGGTAAAGTCAGCCTTTCTTCTTTTCATCTCAGTCATTACCCAAAAGCTACAGGAGAAAAAGCAGAAGTGTAATCTCTATATCTGACAAAATTAGGAGGCAGCTGCAACCCTGATGAAAGGGCTGCCACAGGCAGAGGAAACGAAGCGCTGGTGCAGGAGATTTCAGAGCAAGCGTGCTCAAGGCTGCAGATGCGAGACAGCACTGGTAAGGACTCTTGGCTGAGGTTCAGAATATATCCCAAGGTGCAGAACCGTAGATACAACAGTGGTAACAGTGCATGGGCAGGTAGGAGGTAGGATGTTTCCTAGACCATTTGGGATCTGAGGAGAAACAGGCTGGGGCCTTGAGAAGGAGTCACTCAGACAAGCCATATTTGCAGCAGGTAGTCTACTGATGGGAGCAATAGTTATGGGGGTGCTGGGGGAAGAGAAGGGACTTTTCCTTGTGAAGAGCTCTATAGCTGCCCCTATTTACTGACTTGGGAGAAGTGAAGTTGGAAAGAACTAACAGATGTGGGGAGAAAAAATCTCAGTTGTCAAAAAAAAAAAACTGATCTGCTTAGAATGTGGCCCTGGTTTCTTTTCCCACATGAACCTCCAGCAAATAGCAAGTCCAGGAAAAACTTCTCATTCAAAGAGGAATGATTCAAAAGTAATCAAAACCACAAATGCATTTGTTTTTTGGGCCAGCAATTCCACTTCTAGGAATGTATATACTCACATATGTAGAAAACGATGAACATACAGAAATATTCATTAATGCATTGTTTGTGAAAAACCATTGAAAGCTGTCTAAATGACACCACCAGGGTTCTGGGTCCCTAAATTGTGGTATATTCATACAGCATACTCCTAGGTAGACAAAAATGAATAAATAAGGAGAACTTGGATACCATTTATGTAGTGATGTGGAATAACCTTCAGGTTACATTATTAGGTAGGAAAAACAGGGTTCAGGACAGTGAGTATAATATTCTGCCATTTGTATATAAAAAGGAGAAAAATGGTAAGTACATAATTGATTGTGAATGTATAAGTTATCTCTGGAAAGAGACACGAGAACCTGGTAACCCTGATTACCTAGGGAGAGGAAGGAGCAGTGGTGGCTGGGGGTATGGAATTGAAAGGGAGACAGCTATATCCTTTCATAGCTTTTGAAAATGTGGATGTACTTTGTACTATGTGGATGTACCACCTTTACAAAAAATAAAACATTTAAAAAGCTATTTTGTTCTATTACTGCTATAGTAAAGTCACAGTCTAGGTACAGGATTTTATAACATTTAATATAGATATGCTTGATGTAGTGTTTATTTTTTAGTGATTAAATTGAATAACCAAGCAGATAGAACAACAGATATTCAATCATTTCCAGAGGCACGTAGGCATTATTTTTTTGAGGTTGCCAAATAAAGTGATTCTCAGGTCAGGTGGGACCACATTAGGTAACTAAAGTAATTGAGACTGGAACATATTTCTTTTTTTTTTTTTTGAGACAGAGTCTCATTCTGTTCCCCAGGCTGGAGTGCAGTGGCGCAGTCTCGGCTCACTGCCACCTCCACCTCCTGGGTTCAAGCAATTCTCCTGCCTCAGGCTTCCAAGCAGCTGGGACTACAGGTGTGCACCACCATGCCCAGCTAAATTTTGTATTTTTAGTAGAGGCAGGGTTTCATATTGGCTAGGCTGGTCTTGAACTTCTGACCTCAAGTGATCCACCTGCCGTAGCCTCCCAAAGTGCTGGGATTACAGGTGTGAGCCACTTTGCCCGGCCCCCATATTTCTTATTTAGTATGCACAGTGACATCTGTGAAATACTGTACTAAAGCCCGCTGATGTCTTTCCATATCTTAACAAAATGATTTTTATTACATCATACAAACACTTTTTACAAGTGCCACAAAACACGAATCCATAGAGAGGTTGAATGACTTGGTCCTCTAAGGTCACACTAGTGCTGATGGTATTTTCCAAGGTGAGAGACAGGTTGAGAGTGATGGTCTAAATGGACATAGCCAAAGACCACATAGTAGGATGTTTGCTTCAGAACAAGAAGTCCTACTTGTGAATTACTGTATTTGTGGCCCACATGCTTCTGTGGCTTTGCACTTGGGCTATCTCTTTGCTGGAACTGGACAACTTAAGCTATGAAAAACTAGGGATGGGCAATGTTTGGATTTATCAAAACAGGTGGGGAGCTAGACCTGAGACCCTCCCTGTGCCCTTCTGGGCCTTCTTTTTTCCTTGAGTAATCCTGCAAGGAAACAAACCATGGGCTCACTTTAGGAACTATGTAAGGTAAACATGCTACATACAGTGCCTTTACAGGGAGAGGAAATGTGGGGCAGACTGGCTTGCTCCTGGTGCAGTCTGCTTGAAAGATGCCCAAGGGCACTGGAAATAAAGCTGTTTTGCCTTTCTACTTATACAGAATCTTCCTAGGCTTTCAGGTCCATTGAAGGCCATCCTGTAGTGTGGTGAGAGTGAGGGTCAGATCTCACCATTTGAGGTGGATCTTGGACTCCTGCTTTCTGGGACACAAATGGCAAGCTGATGGGCCACATGTGGGTGAATGGAGGTGAGTGAAGTACCGACAGGGGAAGGGATGGAGATGAACATCAGCGTGTGAATAAAAGGACTGGGATTGGAGGAAGAGAGAGAGGAGAGTAACGGAGGGCAAAGTGTTGGGGAGTGAATGGAGCAAAGAGGGGCAGAAGGGTGGTGAACAGGGAAGAGTAGGGTGAAATGGGAGAAATATCCAGTGGAGTGAGTTACTGGAGAAGAAACAGTTGAGTGTAAGTAAACATGAGTAGTGTTGGAGGGAGTAGAGTGGTAGTGAGTAGACAGAGTGGAGGAAATTGGGAGTGATATGAGGCACAGTGTGAATGACAGTGGTAAATGGGGTTGGGTGAAGAGCAGTGCAGGCAAGTGGCAAAGCATGGCATGGTGCTAATGAGTGAAGAGGGCAAGAATGCTGGGCAGTCAAGGTAGGAAGACTGTGCTGGAATGGGGTGCACTATGGGGGTGATGGGGATCTGTGGTGTCAGATGTTAATAGGGTCTTGGGGTCTCATTGATGCATGACCTTGTGTTGGTGGTAATGGGGAGTTGGGTGGAAGTGGGTGGTGATCACTGGGGTTTCTGCACAAAGAGGAGTTGCCCTGAAGACCCTGCAGTGATCACAGGTGTATGGGATGGGATCATCCTGTGTTCTGGACACAGTGTTCAATGAATGTCGCTTCTGTGTTCCATCTCTGATGTGGTTTAGATCTGTGTCCCCATCCAAATCTTATGTCACATTGTAATCCCATGTTGGAAGAGGGGTCTGATGGGAGGTGATTGGATCATGTGGAGTTCTCATGTATGGTTTAGCACCTTCCCCCCTTGGTACTGTATAGTTAGTGACTTCTGGTGAGATCTGGTTGTGTAAACGTGTGTAGCACCTCCTTCCTCTCTTCCTCCTGCTTCTGCCACGTACAATTCCTGGTCCCTCTTTGGCTTCTGCCATGAGTAAAAGCTCCCTCAGACCTCCCCAGAAGCAGATGCTTCCATGCTTCCTGTACAGCCTGCAGAACAGTGAGCCAACTTAACCTTTTTTCTTTGTTAATTACCCAGTCTCATGTATTTATAGCAGTGTGAAAACAGACTAATACAATCTCTTTGTCATTATTACTTATATATATTCAGAAGGAGAGAGGCTCCACTGCAAGAGGTGTCCCTAACACCTCTGCCAAATCAGCTCTGTTGTGCCCCTTGGCCAGTCCAAAGTCCCACCCCCACATTATTTATGCCAGTTACTTAATTTGTCTTATTGCTTTAACTAAAATGTCTAAAATAAAATTAATTATGTTCCTTCTTCACTCAAAACTATCCTGGATTCCTAAATCAGCCCCATGACCTTTGATTGGCCCTATCACCACCCAGATCAATACTAGGCCTCCAGTATTTTAGCCAATTATTTGATATTATTGTCCTATTTCTTTAGGTAAACTGCAAACTATGAATTATGATCCCTTTTCACTTTATCCATTGGGGTCTTTTAATGTGAGAAATTCCCTTGATACAATGATAATCTTCAATATGCGACCAGGCAAGCTACCCCAGAAGTCTCAGAATAGTCTCAGAGACCAAATTGAAATGCTTGAGTCAGGCCCGGTGCGGTGGCTCACACCTGCAATCCTGGCACTTAGGGAGGCTGAGGCAGGTGGATCGCTTGAGGTTGGGAGTTCAAGACCAGCCTGGCCAACATGGTGAAACCCGGTCTCTACTAAAAATACAAAAGTTAGCCAGGTGTGGTGGCACATGCCTGTAGTCCCAGCTACTTGGGAGACTGAGGCAGGAGAACTGTTTGAACCCAGGAGGTGGAGGTTGCAGTGAGCCAAGATTGCCCCCAGCCTGGGTGACACAGTGAGACTCTGCCTCAAAAAATAAAAAAATAAAAATGTATAAAATGCTTGAGTCGCATGGTTTATTAAATAGATTTTTTTGAAAAATGAAAATATACATATACATATATACATGTTAAATATATATATGTATGTACATATACATATATATATACACGCACGCACACACACACACACACACACACACCAAGAACCAAAGAGATGGAGTAAGTTAACAGACTTAGGAGAGGGTACAAACAGGATGAAGTTTGTACTTTCCTGAGTCCTGTGTTATGCAATGTTCATAAACCCTGCGTCTGTGTCTCTGTCTGTCTTTGTTCCATCAGCCTTATTGGTTATGAGGACCAGAGTAGAGGTTTGAAAAGGGGGCCTAATCAGACTCAAGGTGCTCAAGTCAATTGCATACCTTGCTTACCTAAGCTTATAGCTTATCAGTTAGTCTGAACAGTGATGGGTTTTATCTGTGTTCAGTGGAACAATACTGAGTGTCACGAGTTGGTGGTTAATTTAAGTATAATATAACCAAGATGGCAGGATACCTTATGAGTTGGTGTTCCTGTCTCTTTCTATTTCTGAGTAATACCCTTGTTTGTTTTATCGTATATTTTTTTAAGTCTACTGACTTTCCTTTTTTTTATTGCACTTTAGGTTCTGGGGTACATGTGCAGATCATGCAGGTTGTTGCATGGGTACTTACATGACAAGGTGGTTTGCTGCCTCCATCCCCCTGTCACCTATATCTGGCATTTTTCCCCATGTTATCCCTCCCTAACCTCCCCACACCCCGCTGTCTCTCCCCTATTCCCCCCCAACAGACCCCAATGTGTGATGCTTCCCTCCCTGTGTCCATGGGTTCTCATTGTTCAACACCCGCCTATGAGTGAGAACATGCGGTGTTTGATTTTCTGTTCTTGTGTCACGTTGCTGAGAATGATGGTTTCCAGGTTCATCCATATTCTATTTATCTTTAATACATCTTACAAGTTACTTACTTGCTAACTATAACACATCTTATCAATTTTGCCTGTCTCAAAAGCTTCTTGTTTACTTACCTATACTTCACACATCCTATGCATTTTCTTCATGTCTCATAAGTGTCTAGCTTACTACCTATGCTTAGCACTTCTTATGAGTTTCCTCTGTCACATTTGTTTTCATGACCTCTAGAAGACAAACAACAGCAAAAATCAAAGCTAGTTCTCTGAAAAGATTAACATATGCAAGAAACTCTAGGCTGATCGCAAATAAAACACACATTTTTATATGTCCATGATAAATGTACATCACTACAGATTCTATAAACATTAAAAGGACAGAAAATTATGAAACATATTTATGCCAATAAATTTGAAAATTTAGTCATGTAAAGCCGGGCACGGTGGCTCAAGCCTGTAATTCCAGCACTTTGGGAGGCCGAGGCGGGTGGATCACGAGGTCAAGAGATCGAGACCATCCTGGTCAATATGGTGAAACCCCGTCTCTACTAAAAATAAAATAAAATAAATAGCTGGGCATGGTGGCGCGTGCCTGTAATCCCAGCTACTCAGGAGGCTGAGGCAGGAGAATTGCCTGAACCCAGGAGGCGTAGGTTGCGGTGAGCCGAGACCGTGCCATTGCACTCCAGCCTGGATAACAAGAGCAAAACTCTGTCTAAAAAAAGAAAATTTAGTCAATGTAATAAGTTATATGGTCTTAGAGATCAAATAACCTATTATTTTGACGATATTGTGTTAAATGTATATGAATATATGAATTCATATATTCTGAATAATAGATCACATAATCTATTATTTTCTCTAAAGAGAAATGGATTTGAGAAAATTC